AATAGAGTGGCCAAAGGACAGAACTTTTGTTGGTTCAGCAGTTCCAGTGCTGTTGGGATTTGCTGTCCTGCATAGTTCAACGAGAGCAGATGACAAAAAAACATGACAGATTTCCCCCCTTACCTGGAAAGTCCAGTAACTCTCCTTCTTCATCTTGAAGAGTTTCAATGTCGTAGCTGGTGTTCTCCTTCTCGTTCTGTACAAGAGAAAGAGGGAGAGAATGCAGGAGGGGAATCTAACAGGACTAGATACAGCACCACTTGCCCGAGGGCTTCCTTCAAGAGTAGCCACAGTGTCTCGGTAAGCATCTTCTCTAAAAAATGCAAACCAAGCAAAACCGTATGTTCCTTAACCAAAGGAACTTAGGACTGTCCCATTCCCCCAACCCAAACACACCTCCACTACCTCAACTGATGAGAGGCGGCTCCTAAGGACCTCCAACTCCTTCCCAAGATTTTCCTTCTCGCCTGTTTTCTCTGCCAGCTGCTTCTGGAGGTCTTCTACCTGGTGGAGCAGGGGAAGAAAACCCAACAGCTTAGGAGATGTAAGCTGGTTCATTTATCCACAGTCTGAAAATATTCAAAAAATTTTTAAAAGAACAATCGTAGAAATAAATATTTCTGAAGAGGAAGCGATCAGAACTGGCCCCTAGAGGGAGCCAGAGGCCATGTGATGTATAGCATTTGCTCTTCAAATAGTGTTCATGTTTATCCACAGTTCTCAGTATCTCTGAGGGCTTGGACCTGATCTTCCACAGAACCATAGCTAGAGGTGCTGCTCCCATTCCCTGAGCACCCCCGAAGTGCCTCCAAAATATTCGCCAGACCCCAAAGATTTATGGCAAAGAGGAACTTACTTGTTTCTCTAAGATCCGTATGGAACCGTCTTCGAACTCTGGCTGCTAAAAAAGATCAGGAAATGAAGGAGGAAGAGTTAATGTTGATTAATGAAACAAATGTTATTTATTGGTAATACTACGGGTGAGAAGGATGTCGGAGTTGTTGCAAATCATAAGCTGAAGATGAGCCTACGGTGTGATGTGGCTGCAAAAAAGGCCAATGCGACTTTAAGATGCATTAACAGTAGTAGAGTCTCCAAATCCCGTGAGGTGCTCGTTCCCCTCCACTCGGCACGGGTTAGGCCTCCTCTTGGGTCCTGTGTTCCAGTTCTGGACACTGCACTTCACAAAGGATGCCGACAAACTGGAGCAAGTTC